CAATATAGTCACCTAGATCAGTGTGTGTGTGTGTGTGTGTGTGTGTGTGTGTGTGTGTGTGTGTGTGTGTGTGTGTGTGTGTGCTGTCCTGTAATAATTGAATGACTGTGTAATTTAGCTGTCCTGCCCAACTGCAGAGTGTGTTTGTTATATTGACCTACCGGTCATTTCCACTGTGTTAACAAATAACCTATGTTTTAGGAATTAATTTTGCTGAACCCCAAAGTACAGCTCGGGGTCAATGAGAAGTACTGGTCCAGCTAATGTAGTGGCCAGCAAGTGCAATATCTTGAAGAATAATCCATACATTATAAATGACATGCACTTCCGAGTGATGTGCTGTGAATCATAAGGATAGAAGAGGTGGTAATACGATAATGGTCCTTTAATGGCATCATGATTTGTGACGTCCTCTTTCACTTGATGGTTTAACCTCTGTTGACCTTGATCCCGTGTCCACTCCACACTAACTCCGACACTTCCTGCATTCGCTGCCTGGTTCTGCACACAAACGCGAGTCAAGTGTCTTTCAGTGACTCGTCGGCTTGTCCGCTCTCTCATCTCCTCGCCCCCCTTCAGTCTTTGACTCCATATCATTCGAGGACTTAATTGTCTGGATAACTGCAGTCACCCTCCTGCCGCACGCTTGCTGAGTGGCGCGGCATAAAGAGCGCATCCTGAACACGTTTTTAGGTGATTGTGTCCTTATTTTCAACCTCGCTATTGATCGGGCCAATTATACTTTCCGTCGATGCGCACCCATTTAGCTGCTCGATAGGGACGCGCCATCAAATTACTTGAGGAGCAGGAAGACCACATTTGTGTCGCAGCTCTTGAAGCATCCACTTAAATGTGTTAAAAAAAAGGCTCAATCAGCCCTGTTTTCAAATATAGGCGAGGATGATGGAAGCGGGTTGGCAATTATAATTGAACCAGAAGCGATCTGTATAAGTCTTTACTGAATAGCTGCGAAAAATACACGTCAACTTTTTTTGATGGTACGAGATAATCAGTTCTCGTAATCTTTGAACAGGCAACAAACAATACTGTAGGCAGTCATATGTCAAAAATGTTTCACTCATTCACTTAATATTCACCATGCAACAGTTTACTGCTGTCGACATACAGCACACTGTATCTCTTGAGGAGAAGACAAAGATTAGGGTGAATCTCTGCTTGGTCCGTCGATTAGGAGAGAGAAATTGCAAAATGTTGGAAGTTGGACAAGTTTGGGCAACTCGCACTTGAACCGAGCACGTCTGCGCGTTGTGCGTTTAATGGTTGTATGCAGCATCTGTAAATAAATGCATTCATTCATTTTCCGATCCGCTTTATCCTCACAAGGGTCGCGGGGTGGGGGGGGGGGGGCGCTGGAGACTATCCCAGCTGTCTTCGGGCAGTAGGCGGGGGACACCCTGAATCTGTTGCCAGCCAATCGCAGGGCACACAGAGATAAACAACCATCTGCGCTCACATCTAGGGACAATTGAGAGTGTTCTTTCAGCCTGCAAGGCATGTTTTGGGAATGTGGGAGGAAACCGGAGTACCCGGAGAAAACCCACGCAGGCCGGGGGAGAACATGCAAACTCCACACAGGGAGGCCGGAGGTGGGATTGAACTCGGTACCTCTGCACTGTGAGGTCGACGCGCTAACCACAACTAAATTATTTTTAAAAAAAAAACTTTCTTCGTTACAAAAAGCTCTTTTTTCGGGTTTTCGGTCAGAGTCCAGTGCTTTTGGTGAAACCGTTCCATTTTCTACTGCTTAATACTAAAGAATGAAAAAGCAAAACCACAGCCAGTGTCAAATCTGCTTTCTACAAAGAAACTACGGTACTGTGAAATGTGGACAGGGCTTGGTTATGTTCTGATGTTGCTTAGCACGCAGTGTCTTGAATCTCTGCAGGGAACAATGAGATCTCAAGACCATCAAAGCATTCTGGAGTGAAATGTGCGCCATCATCCACGCATACCTTTGCTATGGCAACTCTCCCACAATATTATTCTGATAAATACAACGGGGGCATTGAAAAAGAAATTCAGAGAGACCTCCGCCTTAAAAAGTATCTTTTGAAGAATAGCAATGATTCATTCGTTTTCTCCACAGTGAATCAAGCAAATTGCTCTCCACTGAGCCCCTGAGACACATTCATCTATATTTTATGCAGAGCTGGTTCAGTCAATTTAAACCTTCCAACAGCTACAACCATAAAACGCACACGGAGCAGTAACACATACTAACAAAACTCACCTGCATATTTTCCCTTGGCCTGTGTGTAACACAATTACTGTAGCTTAGTTAGGGACCTTCTCCCCCTCTTTTTCTTGCTCTTAGTTATGCTGCAGCTCAGTGTTTTCGAGTGTCTTTTGTGTGTGTGTGTTTGTGTCCATAGTGGATTTAGTGGCGTTGAACAACCTCGCCGAGGTGTTCCGGGATCAGGAGCTCCATCAAGCGGAGCACGTGATGGACGTGGTGGAGGTCATCCACGGCCTGACGGCGCTCTATGAGAAGCTGGAGGAGGAGAGGACCGTTCTGGTCAACATTCCGCTCTGCGTGGACATGTGTCTCAACTGGTTGCTCAACATCTACGACAGGTGGGCTGGACTCAAATAAATAAATACAAGTCTGTAGAGGGGGGAGGGGGTGCTCGGGTCCGGTCCTCGATTGCCCCTGTGCTGACAGTCTAAGATGTTTCCTTCTTCCTGATTCAAATGATCAGCTCATCAGCAAGCTTTGCAGAATCCTGATAACGATCCTGATTTTTCGAATTGGGTTTTGGGGAGAAGGGTAACATCTAAAACAGGCTGGATCAGGGCTTTCAAGTCCATCGAAGCTGTCAGATTGGTTGCTTGGACCAGGATGTCATTGTCATCCTGACACGAAACAGCATGAGTCTAAATCAGGAGTGCCCATGTCCGCTCCATGCAATACAGATGACACCAGAGTCAAATCCAAACATGAATTGCGGTTGCGTTCACTTTGCGGCCCGCCACGTTAATTACCCAGGAACAGGTGAGTCAGTCAGATCCTCAGCACATCATTATTAATTGAGCTTTAATGAGGCGCAACAGCTAACACAATAATAAGCTGCGTGTCTTTGCCACAGTTACTCATCACCGCGCTGCCATTCGGGGCCGACTATGACAGCTTTTATGATAAAATATGCATTTTTTTTAAAAAACGACATTTGTTATCTGACTCTACCATCCGCAATTATGGTCAAATTAAGATCGTTGCTCCAACATATTTGATGTTTCAGTGGCTTTGTGTACAGACGTCTTTAAAGCGCCACAACACAACTAAATCTCCGTGCGCGGGATCAATCTTACCTTCCGAGACAAATCCTCTTTCATGGCAATTTTCAACCTCATATTTTTGCCCCTGATTGTGTTATTTCTTGCCGTCTCCAAAGAGCAAAGAACAAGAAAGACGGCGCCAAACGGAAACACACAAGAGGAATCCCATGAGTGTTGTAAATTTGGTGGGTTGCGCTTAAGCACTTGCAGCTAATGAGACAATCAGAGACTTCAGCCTCTGCATAAATTCCAGTAATTGCTTTTGTGGTTCAAATAAATAACAGTAGTGGCCCTGAATATCGTGTGTATGTGTTTGTCTAAATCCTTTTTTTTTCCCCCTTTCTTTCTTTTTATACTCCCGTTACGCTGTACGTTGGGGGTTGTCAATCTAGAAGAAGCACTCGTAATTCTAGTGGCAATTAAACATTACGTTTCCTTCCCCTAAATGCCAATAAGGAATAAAAAAGTTGCCTTGGGAAAAAAAATCATGTTTCATGATTCCAATCATCGTATTTGTAGAGAAAAAATGTAATGAGATGAGAATAATGTGGGGTGGGGGGGGGGGGGTCCAAGATTTTGTTTTTTTTCACTAATTTGCAAACGTCATTGTGGAGTGTTTCTTTTTAAAATTGCAAACTGGTTCCCATTTAAATAAATGAAAATGCAAACCAAACTGTTCAGCCGGATGTCAAACATGAACACCATTTTACTGTGCGTGTGTCTTATTTCCTTCTTTTTTTTCCAACAGTAATACATTGAGGCTTCCTCCTAAAATTTTAAGCCGGTTTCACTTTCTTCAGAATGATAATGAAGACACAAAGTTACATAAAGCAGGTATTCATAAATCTAAACAGGGCTTGAATCACTTCATATTTTTTGCACCCGTTGCTAAGAGGATAATAGTCATATGGATTGAATGACTTCATTGATATTTTTTTACCGAGCTGTCAACTTATACTAACTCGGTGATTGAATAACCACCACTTGTCTTAATTTTTGCTGCAGTCGAATTATTTTTCGTTAACCGTTAGAGGAGAGCATTTAGTAAATTTGCTGGCGGCTGACGTGAAAATGTACACAGTTTGTCAGCTAGCGTTAGCTGGTGCATTTTCGTATAGGCGTGGCGTGGTTCTATTTGACACTTTCGTCTTATAAAGGTGCCCTTAGAAAAATGTCTTGCCTTTAACGGATCCCTGGATCCCAAAACATTTTTAAACCACCTAATGTTGGATCATGAACCAACTCTACGTGAACAAATATTTATTACAGTCACATGGATTCCACATCCTTGATTGGGGTCTGCTCTTATCTCTTGGTTTTTAGTGTCTCATCGGTGCTTCCTCTATGTGTACGTATTTGTTCTGTGGATGCACGGGGTTAGTGTCCCGGTGTGCAAAAGCGGTGGTTTAAAATGGAAGTGCCGCAAGACAGAGTGTGTGTGAAAGGAGACGTCAGCCAGTTGCCTCCTTATGTGTCTGTGGATTCACTCCAGCTTCCACTTTGAATACGTGCAAGCGCAGTTAATGCCTCTCTTTGACTTCTCATGTGACTCGAATCATCCAACGGAGGATTCACTCCCTCGTGAAAGTTGACCTCACTTTTTCTTTCCTACCCGCATGCATTTGAGGAACATGCAACAAACTTGATTTCATTATATTCTCCTTCCCAGTGACGCAAGCCCTGATTTTTTTCCAGTTCTAATGCTGATATGATTATCTTGCCGCTCTGTTAAATTGTTACTCATCACGCTCATGGAGTTCTCTCTCCCGGCTGCGCCTGCATGCGATCTGTGAAATATGAACAAAGGCGTGCGATGAAGACCAACACGTTTACCCTTTTCTACTGTTATGTTCACCTTGCAAGCAAAATAAATACAATAGTTAACAATTGTTTGCATAAATTACAGTAGAGAAACAATGAGAGCATCACATGTCACAAACACGCTCATTAGCAAGAATTTTTCGAGAACATTTTAACCTAAACCCAAGCAGTTTACTCACAAATGTACTTACCCTTCGGTGAAATCGGCTAATTTTGTGACACTTAATGTGCTTTCCACAATCGTTTGAAATGACTGGAATATCGTTCAGAAGTTATGGGTCACTAAATTCCGCTGCACACATCCGGACACTGCCGAAACTGACTGATCGGTCGTTCAGTTTACGGCAACGTGCTGCCACTAGTTTTCATGAGTGACTAGTTTACGACTAGTTTTACTGCAATTTGAAATTTGAATGACTGGCGAAAAGGTTGCAATGTCATAAATGTAAACACCTTTCAAAAAACATCAACTATGAACTACAGTATATTTACAATTTCAGATGAAACTGTGGCTATAAAGCAAAGCGTGGAGAGTCTCCGTTGCATGTGCGCAGTAAGCAAATGGGGCAACCACTCATTGCTAACAGACTATCGAAATAGTTTATTTTTATCCTGGCCTGTTTTATGTCTTTGTATCAATTTTTTTCTTCGTTGCCAATCACACCATGTTTTTGTGGCTCAATAAAATTAATACAGTAGTTATGTTTAGTCACAGTTTTTTAGACGTTCAGGTGTCATTAGATATGCGTTGCTCGATCGCTTGGTGTGTAGTGAGGAGTCGCCAATTGTAATTTTGTTTCACGATGGTCTACCGCAGTGGCATTCGGCCGTGTCGCGCCGTATGCTGTGGACCATAGAAATGGCTTATTTCGAAGAATATCACCCGTGTATGTGTAGATATATTTTTATAAAGTAGAGTCCTGCATACTGATTCGCATTCAGTCACACAGAAATGTTTGTACTTTTTAGAGCTAAGCACATGAATCTTCGAAGTGACCCTCAAACTTTTGAAAGATATTGTCTAGTTTGCATGCATGTGTGCCTCCCTACTTGTGTCATCATATTATCTCCGTGCGAGGCACATACCCAAGAACAATTCCTCAAGTCCCTGCAGTGTTTGGAGAGTGTGGCTGTGCCCCTAATCCAATTTCACACCACTGCACTGACCTGTGCTGTCCTACCGTGACCCCTCGTAATTCATCCTCACTTTTGTTCCTCTCACTGGGCAAAGCACGGAAGCATCACTAATGCCTGTCTACACGTTGTTCGTTGTTCTAAACCTCTACTCTTCATTCCACTTAGCGCTCGCAACGGCAAGATGCGTGTGCTGAGCTTCAAGATGGGCCTGGTGAGCTTGTGCAACGCCGACGTCCAGGAGAAATACAAATGTGAGTGAGTAATGCAACCAGCCACCAATTGCAGCCATTACACGCAGATGCACAAAAGGCTCTTAATGGAAGAACCGTCTCCGATGACATTAATGGTGAATCCTGCTTCTTCCATGCCCAGGGCCCTTAAAAGCATTGCTCGCCACCAGAGTTCATTCACACACGCTCTTCATGCCCCTCCCTGGCATTTTTCCTCCGAGGCGTTCTCTTTTCCATTGTAAAGTACGCCGTGATGTTTTACTATTTATGTGCTTGTCACTGTGTTGGAACGCCCATCTGGTACTCACACCCAGTACTGAAGTAGAAGTGAAGAAACTTCTGTTCAAAAAAAAAAAAAAAAAAAAGGACTCTCGTTAAAGTATTGATTACACTCTACACCAGGTGTCAAACTCAAGGACCGGGGGCCAAATCTGGCCCGCTACATCATTTTAAATGGCCCACAAAAGCCAATCAAGCATGTCAACTTGCATGATGCTTCCTAAAATCTGTACCAAAATTTTAAATGATTATATGTAATAAATGAGAGCTGTTGTCAGTATTTTCTCGTTACCAAACCCCTCATTACAGTCACTTAAATAGTTGAAGAAACTATTATTCTTGACTTCTTGATGTGGTTTCACAGTCATAATGGCCCTCCAAGGGAAATGGCAACTCCAATGTGGCCTGCGACAAAAAATGAGTTTGACACCCCTGCTCTCGACTGTAGCGTGAGATACCGGCATTCACACAGCCAGTGGGCATATTAAATAACATTATGTGGCATCACGACGCAGTGTTTATTGGAAATGTATCAGTCACTGCCAGGGTTACAAATAACGTAGTTTAAGTTTGGGCGTCATTTTAGTCTGAACAATTCCCGTTCCAAACGACTCCAGATTTTGAATCTTTTCGGGGTGTCCGAACTATGGGCATTCATTTTTCGCGGCAAAAACAGACACATCACGTTTGACATGGCCTGTGTCATTTGCCTGCATTTTATTACGGTCCTTTCCTTCGGCAATCCTGGAGAACAGAAGAATTTTGTTCTCATCTCTCACTTCCTTGTGTTGTCATTCGTCATAATCCGGATCCCACAAACGTAGACAGAGATGAAGGTCTTTACAAAAAGGTTTATTTCCAAAAAGATTGACAAAGTTCAAATTAGGTCGCTGATACTCAGCCATGATAACCCGAAAATAACAAAAGACGCTTGCAAACGAGAATTGCTTGTCTAGCATCCAAGTATTTGTACTTCATTCTTCCCATCACCGTTGAAAAAGGGAAATCCATTTTTGGAGCCTCACAGCTGGACTTTGGGGCAGCTGGCCAGTAGCAGTTGATTCAAGACCCAAGACGACAACGCCGACGGAGAGAAACATTTACAAAGATTACTCACAGTCGGAGCACCATCTGTGAGGACTGAGGAACAGAACTTCTCCTCAATTAAAATGTCCCCAAGGTCAGGCGGCCATGAGGTGTCCAGTTGGCCGTCGCGCTCGCCAAGCTCCAGATGTCGCTCTTAAGACAAATATTTACACGTAGATGTTAAGCGTTTGCCTCCGATGGCCATAAACACAGATGCTGCCTTTTAATCCCCTTCATAAGTTTGTCACTGATATTTCACTACTCTTGTTTAATTCGTGTGTTGACAACTACGTACACGCTCACTCATGCAAGAACACACACAGTCCATACTCATTGAAAACATGGAATCTAATTAATTAGTGCAGCAATTCTCAAACTTATTACACCACCTCAAAAATAATTGGCTATCCAGGGGGCGCCATCATGACCAACATTAAAATGTAGTAAGGGAGCATACCAACTTGTTCATTTCGGCAGAGGAAGAGGTTTCAATTTTTAAAAGCATTTTTTTTTAACTTCCCAAAATGTTGCCACCAATAAGTGTTTTCCACCCCAAAAGAGACTGAGGGGAAAAAGTTAAAAAAAAAAAAAAAAGCCCTTTACTCACCCAGTTTCTGACAGTAAGAAAAGTTTTGTAGCTCCGTTTTTTTTTTTTTGGGGGGGTGTTGTTTTTTTTTTTTTTTGCAACATGAATGGACCTAATTTTTATTTTGATTTTTATGCTGATTGTGGAATGATAAGCAGGACAAACACATGGCCGAAATAATATTAAAAGCTTGCGTGAGTGGATTTTTGTGGCGAAAATGCACAAAATTAGTTCGTGTTCAATGGTGGTTTGCTGTTTTGCAGTTTTGTGCCGTACTTTAATGGTAATTTTCATGCAAGAGAGCCCTATGTATCGGTTGGGGGGGGGGGATAAATTCACAGCATTTGCTTGGTTATTTAGTTAGTTAGGAGTGTGGATCGTTTATGCATGCATTGAGAAATTTATTATGAAAAAAATGAAAGATATTAAGAGCGCATATTCTGCCCATATACATATTCCTAATTTTGCTGACTGGGATGTATTTTGTCCATATCTGAAGTATTTTTTTTTCATACATTTGGTGAGGAAGTGTGCCGTCCTATATGGCCCCCGAGTAAGTAGCACTGATGAAAGATTGTGGCCCCCCTCATCCCTTTAAATTCAAAATGAACAAGTTAAAATCTAAGTCAATGTGTTTAAAATGGGAACAAGAGAAAGAAAAATGCCACATAGTACTATGTGTACGATATGAACACACTGTTGAAAATGTGCATACTTTTGTGTACGTGTACACAGTATGAACAATACTACATCAACTATAAAATACCTATCTAATAAATAATGAGCAAATGATTAAGAATACCTCGCAGTACAGCCCAGCACTACAATTTACAACCTCCAAAATGACAAGTCAGCACCTTTCACAAGCAGCTGTATGAATCTTTGAAACATTCTAATTTTGGCGGAGCAGCATACATTACAGGGCACTCGTTAAATAAGTGCATAGTGGCATAAAACATGTCGGCATACCTGTGCCGCCTCCAACATCTTAAAATGCTTGCACGTGTTTACGTGTAAATGTGTGTTAGACATGGAAGTTTTAAAGCCTGCTCTAGGACGAATGCCAAGATTGAGTTGATAAGGCTTGAGTTAGCATTTTTTGAAAGAGCATTTTAGGATTGCATCCAAAATGTCATGAATTCTGTGAAAATCCAATGCAACAGACATCAGCCCAACCCTATCGGGTTTGAAACCTAGGGTTTTTGTGGGAGGGAAACTTTTTATTTCGTGGCAAAATTTTGAGTGCAATATATTCACCTCAAACTGACCCAAAGCTAAGGTCAGGAGGAGGACTGTATTTTCTGGATTGTAAGTCACTCCGGAGTATAAATCGCACCAGCCATAAAATGAATAATAAAGAAGAAAAAAAAAACATGTAAATCGTTCTCGAGTATAAGTCGCATTTTTGGGGACATTTATTTGATAAAATCCAACACCAACAACAGACGTGTCATCTTGAAAGCCAGTTGAGTTTAAAATAAAACTAAAATAGAGAACAACAGGTTGAATAAGTGTACGATATGCCTCTTCTACATCGACTGCGTCACACTCGTCGTCAACTTATCAACACTGGCCTAGAGCGCCCTCCTCTGGTTTAATGAGAAAATAACATGAAATGATATACTAATAACGTCTTCAAAATTGCATATATCAGTCCCCCCACCCCCCATGAAAAAAACGGTGATTCATAATCCGGAAAATACGGTAATTGCTTGTTCATTAAAAAAAAGAATTTCCGGTCACTTAACATTATTCATTCGATGGCTTGCATTGTTGATGTTTGGAAGGACATGGAAACGTTTTTTTTTTAAACATTTCTACGGTCTTATACTGTGGCAGATTTATTCCGCCAAGTGTCCGGCAACGGAGGCTTAACGGACCAGCGTCACCTCAGCCTGCTGCTCCACGAGGCCATCCAAATCCCGCGCCAGCTGGGCGAAGTGGCCGCTTTCGGGGGCAGCAACGTGGAGCCCAGCGTCCGCAGCTGCTTCCGCATGGTGAGACCCGTTGGAAGCTGATCACAGACATTCACATCTTACATGATGAAACCATCAGGCCCGGTATCTCATTTTTCATGAAAAACAATCAATAAAGAAACAAGTCATTAAGAGATCATGAATTGTGTAGGAGGAAATTACCCAATCTCACCGATTTGAATTAAAATGTATTATTTATAACAAATATGTTCCAGTCTTCATCGACTTAATTGAAATAATGAATCTGCTTGCCATCATCCAGATGTCTATAGATTGTTTCATGTGTTCTGTAAATGTCAACATGCCATATGGGACATGAGCCACTAAAAATGGATGAGAAAATACAGTCCAAAAAATATCAGATGAAGGCATGACATTGGATATGTTCTCTTGGGCCGTCAGTGTAAATCCTGCAGCCATAAATACAAGTAGCACAATCATTCCTTTGTTTTCACGCAGCAGGGAAGAAGACCTTAAATGTTTCGTTCTCAAGGCGTGGAGGCTCACAAACATTCACACTTCTCAATTTTGCATGAGATTGCTTTTAATGCACAGACTACGTACTTTCACTGATAGGTGACGCATACTCTAGCCACATGCCAAATATACATTACATCTTGGCAGGATGAAGCCCGATCATGTTGAACACGCTGTTATGTGTTAACCTTCAGTCTGCCGCAGGTTGCGTGAACTTTACCTTGCGACATTCCGATGGGGACGGCGCATGATTTTGCAATTAAATGGCCAACCAAAGGATTGGTGAATTTTAACAACCTGATATCCAACGTTCATCCTGATTATGCTCATTCTATTCTGTTCCACGCTTGCCCTCTCAACTCCGGGTGATTTTTTGAAGCTGAGTTTAGATTTTTTTCGACCTTTTTTAAACTCATGCACTTTATATTACTTCCAAGTTAATTCCAGAACAGTGAAAACTCTCAAATATCCTTGGCGAAAAGTAAGCACATCAAAGTGCAATATCAAGGGTCTATCTATCTATCTATCTATCTATCTATCTATCTATCTATCTATCTATCTATCTATCTATCTATCTATCTATCTATCTATCTATCTATCTATCTATCTATCTATCTATCTATCTATCTATCTATCTATCTATCTATCTATCTATCTATCTATCTATCTATCTATCTATCTATCTATCTATCTATCTATCTATCTATCTATCTATCTATCTATCTATCTATCTATCTATCTATCTATCTATCTATCTATCTATCTATCTATCTATCTATCTATCTATCTATTATTTTTAATAGAGCCCCCAGACATGACATGAGGGTGCAAAAAAATAATTGCAGCCATAATCCATCCATCCATCCATCCATTTTCCTGTCCACTTTATCCTCACAAGGGTCGCGGTGGGTGCTGGAGACTATCCCAGCCGTCTTCGCGCAGTAGGCTGGGGACACCCTGAACTGGTTGCCAGCCAATCGCAGGGCACACACAGCAACCATCCGCTCTCACACTCACACCAAGGGACAATTTTGAGTGTTCAATCAGCCTGCCATGCACGTTTTTGGAATGTGGGAGGAAACCGGAGTACCCAGAGAAAACCCACGCAGACCTGGGGAGAACATGCAAACTCCACACAGGAAGGCCGGAGCCGGGATCGAACCCATGACTTCTGCACTGTGAGGTTGATGCAGTCACCACTCTGGAAAAGACATTACAAGTGTAAATAAGGACAAACTGTGGTTCAAGGACAGAACCTTGAGGAACTCCCTCAATTTTATTTGTATTTATTCACAGTTTGTTGACTTGAAATTTTGAGTTCACCCAACTGTTTTTGTTTTAGAGAGAGCGGGAAACTGTCATTCAAGAACAGAACCTTGCAGAACTTCCTTAGAAATGAAATGCTGTCCCGTGACACTGAATCCTATAGTGTACCCGAGAAAAACTTGTTGGGAGGCCTGCTCAAAACAATCATTGGAGGTTTCTTGCAGTATGTGTATAACAGTCTGATACGACATACTCATTCACATCATATTCTTAGGTAGTGATGTCACGACTGCCTTCGCTCATGTTCAACGAAGTCAGGCATTAGCATAATCTTCAGGTTGGAACAAGTGGGATGTGTAAATCTAAGATTGTAATCTTAAATGTAATCACCTCATGAACCCGCTTAGGTACATGCAATTAAGGCAATTACATGCAGTCATTGAAGGAGGCCAAAGGTCTGCAGACAACACTTTCAATTATTAGACTGTGACGAGCCTCGTTAGGTATCAGGGAAATGCATTCAGGAAGGTCTGACAGAGACGAACGATTGTATGTTACCAGCTTGAGACCGACTAAATCTGATACTCAGAGATAAAATATGATTGGGCTGGATTGTACGTGAAGAGTCACTATTCAGTGACTTGATATTGTGATGCAATTTTTTCTTTGGCATTACCGTACGCTATGTTTTCAAAACCAGGTAAAACATCACAGTAAGGATCCTTAGACATGTTTATTCATTGATATTTTATTCTAGAGCAAAGTTGATTTTTTGCAAACAGCAAGGTGACAAACTGAACCTTACCCTTCATGGAAATGTAACTTCATTTGAGCTCTTTGGTGGAAAGAACAGGGCATGCTAGAGGAGCCCCTCTTTAATCTCAGGAGAAGCTACACTTTCTTTAAAGCTCACCGTCTGTGGACACACACACACACACACACACACACACACACACACACACACACACACACACACACACACACACACACACACACACACACACACACACACACACACACACACACACACACGCGTTTATTTTTGATGCAGCTCTGGTTGAGCAGCAGAGGAAGCCCCGGGGGAAATCAACCTCTTAATGCACCTCAGATGCCGACTTAATGAGAATTTAGCACATCGACGATTTTCATCGCTTAGCAAGTCGCTCCTTTATGAGGATATCTTCACTTTGATCCCATCTTGAATTTTTCTCAAAAGCAGCTCACCAAGAGTGACGCAACCAGGCAGACACAAACGCATACGCGTTGTTCTTCCGATACTTGGACTTCAAAGCGGAGGTGTTTGTGGTCTGTCGTAGTAAAGAAGGAGCTGAGCCTAAAGGCGAAGCTCTCAATTTACCGGTCGATCTACGTTCCAACCCTCACTTATGGTCATCAGCTATGGGTCGTGACCGAAAGAACGAGATCCCGGATACAAGCGGCTGAAATGAGTTTTTCTCCGCAGGGTGTCCGGGCTCTCCCTTAGAGATAAGGTGAGAAGCTCGGTCATCCGGGAGGGGCTTGGAGTAGAGGCGCTTCTCCTCCACGTCGAGAGGAGCCGGGCATGTTCCACCGGCAGGAGGCCCCTGGACTGACCCAGGACACGCTGGAGAGACTATGTCACCCAGCTGGGCTGGGAACGTCTCGGGATTCCCCGGGAAGAGCTGGAAGAAGTGGCTAGGGAGAAGGAAGTCTGGGCTTCCCTGCTAAAGCTGCTGCCGCCGCCACCTGTTTTTCTGCCAGCTTTTCACTTTTGCCACTCACTTTCCTACCTTTGATAACAGATATACACCATTGTGCTCTCATTCTTTGCGAGAGTACAGAGCCAGAGTGTTTTGCCTGATGCGTTATTGTTTGCATTGCTTCAAATGCACCTTCTCGCCTCATGAAATCACAGGCCAACATGCTTATTGGTCTATATTTGGATTCTTTACAATCTGCCGCGCCCCCGCTATTCCCTTGTGTGCGCAGGCCTCAGGCAAACCAGCCATCGAGGTGTCTCATTTCCTGGAGTGGATGAGCCTGGAACCCCAGTCCTTGGTTTGGCTGCCTGTACTCCACCGGGTGACCGCGGCCGAGTCCACCAAGCACCAGGCCAAATGTTACATCTGCAAACAATGTCCCATCAAAGGCTTCAGGCAGGTGGAAACGTCACAGTGTCTAAATGTTTACCTCTGATTCATCATTTATTGAGTAGCAAGGGCAGTTAGGAAATTACACATCAAGCAGTGGCCATACTGCGATAATCAGGTTATCGACCTTGCAGGACAGACCGCTTGCATGCATGCATGCATGAATGAATGAATCAAAACCTCAGCATCAAGCCTTCATTCTGCAAGCCCGCGTTGAGTTTTGTTGCTCTTGGCAGGTATCGCAGTTTAAAGCAGTTCAACGTGGACATCTGCCAGACGTGTTTTCTAACCGGACGCACTACCAAGGGCAAGAAGCTGCACTACCCCATCATGGAGTACTACACCCCAGTAAGATAAGCGTTTATGCGCCCTGCTTTGATTAGGCTTTGATAGCCGCAATTAAATCAGCATCTGCCAGATTTTATTTTGCACACATGGCACAGGAGGGTTTGTGTTTCTTTGAGCATAGTTTATGTCAGGCGGTGATTCCCAACCACCGTGCTGTGGGAGATCATCAGATGCTCTGTGTGAGAAATGATCCAATTTCACTTAAGTGGTTGGAAAATTGTTATTTATTCACTACAACTAATGTATGTTTGTTCATCTATCTATGCCACTGGTGAAAGTGACAAGCACAACAATGAAATGGTTTTAAACGAGATGGCAGGAGGTGCAATTAATCTGTGTAGCCAACTGTTTTCATAAATACAATCAAATAGCTTTGAGTTCAACTACATGGGCCCAGACTACAGCCTATGTAAATACATGTGTGTGTAAATTGACAATATCGTCACTATTTTAGTATACCGAATACTTTCTTGGTGACATTTTGGTTGGTGGTGTCCTATGCGCTTTTCTTGAAATTACAATATGTGCCCGAGTTCCATAAAAGTTGGGAATCAATGATGTAGTGAAATACAACGCCGAAATTGAAAAGACCTTTCAAAGTGAAATTATTGATTTGTTTCTAAATATATTCGACACGTTTGAACATAATCACAGAAAAGATGCGTAAAGACTGAGCCATTGCTAAAACAGTGCCTTGTCATGTATGTTGGGGATAACTTGCTCCTCCCCAACTGAATAAGAACTTTGCACCTTTGCCCACATCAGCGGTTGTACTGTTATGATGTGCATATAGCGAACTAGCTCTGCCTCCATCCCAAAATCGTATCTTCTCTTCGTACTGGTTTGGCCGTTTTCGAGCGTCTCGTTGTCACTGCATTGAAAAGTATCACAACAACCCAGTGGGAAATATTCCAACCAGCAGGCTTATACCTGGATATATTTTTGTCCCTCAAACATGTTTAGATGGTACACCAAGTAAGTCACATCCATTTTTCCAGGTCGCAGTAGTGATATTTGATTGACAGTTGAGCAGGGCGTGGTTTCAGAGGACACGCCCACAGCAACTGTGAGTAGAACGGTAGCCTCTTTTTAAATACTTAATTTTTTTATTGATATTTTTTTCAATCCTACAAATTTGGTAGGGTTGCTCACACCTCTCACATATTGATATTCACTTTACACTTGAATGATTGTACTTGCAGGTCCAATTTAAATCAAAAGGAGACTATAAGGCACTGATATTCTGTCTCATAACTTATTTTATTCACCGATTAATAGTTCTGAGTCGCTGGCTACATGAAAGATTCGACATCCGATATTATCGATAGAAAACTACCGCTTCCAATCCAATATGTTAAATGCTGGAGGGTAAAATTGAATGTCAACGCGAGCACAGTAATGATTTTAGAGCAGCAGTTGTCAAACTTTTTGGGTCCAGGGAAAGCCAAAGAAGATTTTTTTTTCTACTACAGTGTGTCCCCTTACTTGTCACAGGAGGTACAGAGTTGCATTTTTGTGTTACAATAAATTTCTATTTAGTTTATCCTCCTTGTTGCAGCAAGAATATGAATCAGTATTTGTCGTGCATAACATCCAAGTTCCTATCTGTACATATGTCTTAGCCAGTGCTGTTAATAGACTACATGGTCTATTCATCATTTTCTACAAGTAACATGACAAAAAAAAAAAAAAAAAAATCTTTAATCAGTCTGTAACCCCGTCTTCTCCCGCCATGCATTCGCCGACTCTCCGCCGCTCTCCGCCTTCATCTGCCAGACCACTTCGGGAGAGAAGATGAGGGACTTCGCCAAGACTCTGAAAAATAAGTTCAGATCAAAGCAGTACTTCACCAAGCACCCTCAGAGAGGTTACCTGCCCGTTCAGTCTGTGCTGGAGGCTGACAGCTCAGAGACGTGAGTCCAACTTTTTCAAAAATGTAATTTTAAATGTCACCCACCCGTCTCTCTGAATTCCTTCTCATGTGTTCCAACTGATAAAAAAAAAACAAGTCTCCGGAGAACATGGTCATTTAATTAGATATAGTTGACAAAACAAACCAAAGCTATCAAAATGAATGAAATAAAGTGCAAACAAAATACAATGGGCACCTAAGCCTCAGGCCTTGATTGATTTTTACCTCCCCTCAAACTTGTTCGTGGCCAGATTTTTGTTTTTTTCTTCTTTTACTGCATAACATTTTCCATTTTCTCACTCATATTAGTTCTTGTCATTAAAATAAAATACATGTTTAGGTTTTTAACCCTTCAAATTCCTCTCAGGTTGCACAGGTTGTAAAATGACCTAATGTTTTTTTTTTTTTTTTTAATTCTCAATCTTGCTTTTTTTCTGATATTGCTTGTGAGCTTCCAGTTCTAATAATCATGTAGTTCTTCGCCAGGTTCAGCAGAGGTTATCTCCACTTTCTTAAAACCAAAATTGCATGATACATTTGTCCCACCGGAGTGCAGCAAGCCATACATTGATAAAGGATGTAAGCTGGTCGGAAATACCTAGAGTAAAAAATACAATCATGTTGAGGCTCGAATGAAACGCATTTTATCCAAATGATATGATTCTATAGAATTCAGTTAAATGGACAAGGCAGAGGCTGGTTTGGGACCATGAAAAAAAACCCAGATATGATTGTGAATGAATACAGATGAACACGAGTGCAAATACTGAGGGCAAAATATGCAGATAACATTTAACTGGACATTTTTTTAATTTTTGGTGAAGCCTGACATGGTTTGGATTATTGCTACAGTAACTTGGGACTTGAGGCTTAAGACTTGAGACTTTCTTCAGACTTGAGGTCAACTTGTTAGCACTAATCGGGGGGTCGAATCAGAGATGAGGGACACTAATCACGAAGGAGCTGATCCCAGAAAGGCATCAGCACGCACAGATTTTCATACCCGAGCACTTTTAGCAATACAGGTTGACATCATGAAAATACCGGTAGTATCATATAACGCACACGCACACGCATGCAGTCGGAGGCAGATGATCATGCCCCGACTATTTGTACTCCTCCGACGGGCTGAAAGGGAGTGCTCAGCGTCACCATAATGTTTTCCGGCTCACACACGATGTTCACATGCGCTCGTTTGAGCCAAAGGGGGGGAACGAGTGCAATGAGACTAAAATCCATGAAGTCATCAGGAAGCAATGCTGAAGGCGCTTCGTGTGCCCACATTAGCGTGTTTATGGGATGGCAGCCTGTGAATGTGATGTAATATCGTCGGATCCTTTATTTTAAGGCTACTTTAAATAAACAAGAGGGGATTTTCGGTAAAGGGAACAAAATGTTGAATAATGGAATCAAGATGAAACTTTTTACACTTCTTAAAACTACTTATGAGACGATCGAGTACACCTGCACAGGAAATGAGACACCATCTTAATGTGAATTGATCTGTGAGACTTTTTTTTTAATAGTGTACCTAATTTAACTTTTTATTTTGTTCACCTTTAAACGAAATCAAAAATGTTTTCTGTAATTTATAACAATAAAGAAAGGAAATGATGTCCTGTGCCTGTACTATTCCTGTTGTGCAATAGGCTAAAATATTTTAGTTTAAAATGGCTTACCTGAACTAGAATCCCACATTGCGTTGTGGCCAAAGATTAGAAAAGTGATTGGTTATTGCGACTCTTCAAGCTGAAAATAGTAAATCCTTGTCATGGCAAAAATTCTGCTAACTCTTTTTGTTCTTCTTCCGCTTCTTCATCTGCCTTTTTGGGGTGGTTAGCAAATATTTTGGGTGCATTAACACCACCACTAAAAGCATTTGTGAGCCGCCAAAAGAAAGTCAACATGATTAGGGAACGGGGATTTTGGGTGCCAATCCAAGCTCTAATTTTAATATGTACACATTGCACTTGAGTATAAGTTGCCAGCCAAAGTCTGAAAAAAACAATACCGACCACTCAACATCATCACAGTATATCAAGTCAGCATGAAATACACTTATGGTGGTGACTCAAACTAAGGCATTGCTTCATATCCACAGGGGTGGCCAGACACAGAGGCAGCTGGCGAAAGTAAAACCTCTCCTTTCTCATGAGCACTTTGAAAGAGTAATTCATGCCTTTGTCATATCCCGGCTGGATTACTGTAATTCACTTTATTTTGGAGTCAGCCAATCCTCCATGAAGCGTCTCCAGTTGGTCCAGAATGCTGCTGCTCGTCTCTTGACTGGTACTCGTAAGAGGGAGCACATAACTCCTACTCTGGCATCCCTTTACCGGCTCCCAATACGTTTTAGAGTTCTTTTTAAGATCCTATTATTTGTATTCAAATCTTGAAATGGCCTCGCTCCCCCTTACCTGTGGACCAGACCTTATTAGAAGTACCAAGAACTAAGCGGAGGCTCAGAGGGGATTGAGCCTTTTCCGTTGCTGGTCCCTCTCTTTGGAATGACCGCCCTACGGCAAGCCCCCTCGCTGCCCATCTTTAAAACTCATCTCAAAACTCATTTGTATTCTTTGGCATTTGCCTCGGCATGACTCAGACTTGATCTTAGTTTTACTGTTTTGTGCTTTCTACTGTCTTCGTTTTTAATTTTTTGTTTCATTGGTGCATAAATGATATTTGCTCCATGTACAGCACTTTGTATACAGTGATGGCTGTTTTAAAGTGCTCTATAAATACAGTTGAGTTGAGTTCAGAGTCAAGGGCTTCTCCCTTGCCCCAACACAACCGCCAATACACAGAGTGCAGAGAGAACATGCAAACTTTACACAGCAAGACCAACGTCACGATTCAAACTCCGACCCAACTCAGATAAAATATGTGGATTTTTGTTCTTTTTTTTTTTTTTTTATAATCCTGGTCGCAATAAACAAAAATGAAAACAACCTCCTACTGGGGTTCAAAAAGAAAAGTCTTTACCTCAATGCTTCCTGATTCTGGATTATCCTGGCAATATGTCCGGATTAATTTTTCATTGTGCCATCCTATATGTATTTGTGATGATGTATTTCGAGTGTCATTGTGTTTCCCAGGCCGTGCTCGTCCCCCAAGCTGCCCCATGCAGACACGCACAGCAGGATCGAGCATTACGCCAGCAGGTACGTCTCTCGCTCTGCCGCCGCATTACCATCTCTCTAATTCACTCACCCCTGCTGTCTGCTCTCTTAATCCGGGTTCCCTGCTTCCACATTTTTGCCCCCTCTGCCTGTTTCCTGATCCCCGCAAGGCTCTGATTGAAATATTGATCCGGCAGCCATGTGCTTCAAGAACAGGGCTCCTCAGATGTCTCCTGTGAAATGAGTCACAATCCTAACGCCAATTAAACCAATTAAGCATAGCATAGTAACCCTAAATGGCATTGGGAAAAAAAGTTGTCATGTTACAAAAATTGATTTTTTTTTCAAGATAAAAAAATCTAGAATATTTCCAATGACATATTTTGTGGGATTATGTCATTGATTTATTTGCTGCTTTATTTTTCTAAAGTCAAGTTGTCATGTCAAAATTCATTCGCTGCCAACCCCTCCCAGTTAACACGCATCTTCGACATGCAGTCTGCCCCCTTTTTTAGAACCTCAGCTCGTTTCACCTTCAGCACAAACATAAGCCGATTTAAAACAGCTTGTTGTGTTGTTTGTCCGTATATTGCGTACGTGTTAGCTTGTGTATGTGTGTGGCTGGAGGTCAGCGGGGGTCCAGCGTGCCCAGTGGCTTGTCACTGGCCGGGCCACTGAGCCCACTGGTCACCTGGGAGCTGTCCTCAAGGATCAGTGTCTCTTTGACAGATTAGAAACAGGACTGCTGCACCCCTGAAGGCTAAACACGCACACATCCATTAATGCGGCTCGTGTGGATGCTGCAAAGTGTACTGTTGTGTATTACTTCCCCCGAGGTCTTTGCTGCTTTAACACGCCACCTAAAACTCTCGTCTCTTAGCCACATATCTATTTCTCCATCTTTTTTTTTTGCCATCTTCTTGCTTTCCTTTTTTTGTAAATCCTCGATATTGCTCTATTATCTCCTATGAGCTGCTGAGCCGGTGGTAATTTGATCTAAAATGGGCCACAAAAAAAAGGTGTTGATCATCTTCCATGCCACAGATAGTGTGTTCCACCTCAAATTTGTTGCATTGGGTTTTGCTGGTGCATTTACGTTTAATCCCAGTTTGGCGAAAGCAGACAAGGAGTCCGTTCTCATTAATTCATCGCCATCCTCTCCTACTCAATGTCGATCACAAATCTAACATGGCTGCGTTTAGTTTTATGATTGGATAAGTTGTTAGCAGCGCAGCAAGTGATGAAATAATTTTCTCCCTTCGGCGGCTGAACGAGTTTGATGTTTTTATGGCATGGTGACAGCCGACAGTGACCATCTGTTGTCCCTGTTGTATACATATTGTGTATTTCGCCCTGAAGATAAAAAAAAAAAAAAAAAAAAAATTTTAATTTTTTTTTTTTTTTTTTTTTGCGACCACATTACAAAAAAAGCTTGTTTCAAGACATCCTCTGACCTCTGCATGACCCCTGTTCCTTCTGTTCAATATGTTTGATGGTTCTTATTTTAGTCTTTCTCAGTTCTGAGATTCCCTTCAAAGAGCGACGGGTGCAATGTTTCTGCAAATGTGGTGGGAACTCACACAGGGCTTCAGACTGTTTCAAGCTCCTTCTTGAATTCCGTTACTACTTTCCCAGAGAAAATGTATGGCTTGTACAGTTTCCAGATTATCAACATTTAACGTGCTGGTAAAGCTAAAGTCCATTTCGTTAGATGCGTGTGAAATATGACTCATTTATTTTTTGTTTTGTTTTTATTTTTGTGTGTTTTCGGTCTGGCTATTTTTCTTGCTGTTAATTGTCAATTTTTTTTCCCTTTCATGCACCAATAATGATAACATACCTGATAACATGATAGGCTGTCCACTGGAGTGACTGCTGTAGTTCAA